ACCTGTGCTAAGGAAGAGGTATCCATAGTAGTTCAATGATTCATGGAAGGTCTGAAGCTTCTTCAAGGATAGAGAACCCAATAATGTAGCTTTAGCTGCAATCAAAATAATCTGCATAGTAGCTAGCAATGAATGTGGTTTTCTTCAAATGCATCGATATCAACTACATGCAGAAAATAAAGAAACAAAAACACTTAAATGGAATAATCATCTTTTGTGATGTGATGTCAAGCAATTCAATGGACCAATTAAAACCAAAAACGTCGTCCTTCCCAAGATTAGGTGTGAGATGAACTAAGAGGCTCTCGTAACTTTGGTGGTTCTTCTAGCATATTTGCCCAAAATCCAGGGAGAAGAAAATGGTTGTTTGGATTTACAGCTGAACCAAGGTTCATGACTTGCTAAAAAAGGATCAAGCAAAGTTCCTTCTACCCACGTTCCCTGCACCAGTGAAGTACCCTATGCAGACGAGTTTGAGGATTGCCATATAAAAAAATTGTTAAGCATTGATCAGTGATTTTTTCATAAATTGGAATTGATAATTATAGACATGAAGTCATGTTTGTTTGTGATTTAAAGCACGGTAGAATCCATTTTCTACTCAACAATCTCGAGTTGAATTCTTCCTAGGCAACCTCTCTAAGGAAACGGAGTTAATTGAATTTAGACATGTGTAGCAGACAACACCGGCCATCAGCTGGCACTGCACACAACACACGAGCAGGAACCAAGAGGCGAAAGTTGTTTCTGGCAACAACATGCATTCTAAATAACAACGAAATATAAGTATATAAGAAAAAAATTCACAAATTTGAGGTTGAAAAGGAGTGGTCTGAAGTTAAAATACCTTGTTCAAGTGCATAATCTGAAATTCTGAAGGGAAGTCCTCCAGGCACAGGGCCACAGGCAAGAACGAATTGCAGAGTGTTCATCCGTTAGCTTGGGACAATCCAAGCAGCACAGAAGTCCATCGCAGCGTCAACCAATCATCACATACTTGGGGCGGGCCGGGGGGAGATCAAGACTACAGTGTTGGTGTTGTTGTGTTTTTGTTTTCGAACCTGGCGTACCCCTTCCATTGCAAGAATGGAAATACAATTGTTCCGGACACAACCAGGAAGATGGTGTTGTTGTGTTGGAGAATGGGGACATGCGTGAATCACCTCTTTCCCTGGGGAATCATGTCCATGGGAGAGGCAAGCCCAGATCCAGTACTCAGGTCGACGGGGAATCTGGTAGTGAGATGGCCCCGTCGGTGCGTACATAAGTGGAGGTGATGCAAGATAACGGCGTAAGGCGAGTGATGAATATCTTGACGCCGGTCGTCGTCCTTGGTGAAGCGCCCCTCTAGATATACACGGTGTGGTTGAGAGATGCTGCAACCACAATGAGAACAAAACCAAAACAGCATGAATCAATCACCGATATCGATTTTGTTTGTAGACTCCATGTCTCCATCTCAATGAAACCACCACCAGACGGCGTCATTGTTCTCGGGCCTGCGTAACCTGCCATCGAGTCTTACAATCAAACACACGAGTAGCCCCGAGAGTGGAGAGCGGACGGTGGCAATTACGTACCTGCATGGAAGGGGGAGAGAGGAGCCACCAGTAATTGGGCGATGTCCACTGCCACCGCTAGTGAAAGAGCGCCATTAGGTTTCGATCGCTCGCGGAGGGGAGAGGGGAAGGGGACTGGCCGTAAGAGGGGAATGATCTCACGCCGCGCGCCGCCGCCTCGGGGAGAACGCACCCAGTGTGGTGGAGAAATTTTGAGATGATGCCTCCAAGGTCGGCAGTTGACGGGCCTGTTTACCACCATTTTCCTGGGCCTAATCTATTTCTCCCGACCTGTCAGCCCAATTAAGCACATAAAGCCTAGGTCGGCCAGCGGAGCAGCAACCCGTTTACGGTGTGCCAAGTGGGCAGCGCCGGGTGATCCAAGCAAAAACATGCAGGCACGAGCGACGGAAAGAACGCCATATCTGGAGCGTCTATTAGACTGATTTGATGTGGAAGGGCGTGAGTAGCTCCATTTTACTGTTTTGTAATGCTTTTGAAAGACTGTGTCTCGGTCATCCGTTTTTCAAACATCATATAGTGCAAAAAATTCAATGGAGGAGATCGAGTCTTGTGGGGAAAAGTGCGCAAATCTCTGCAGAGTGTACAAACTAATCATGGTTAGCCGTGTCCCCGGTTATGGACATCTTGAGTATCTGGTGCTTGAATTATTATGTTGATCTCATCACTTTACTTAATTAACTTGTTGGATTATTGATTATTAATTAGGATTGAGATGGGGTTATCATTCTCGATGTTTTCAACAAAATTTGTAGTTAAATAAAACATATTCCTTTGTTGTAGGGAAAAACTAAGCTTTCTGCAAAAATAACCATAGAGTCTCCACTAGCCATGTATGCATATAGTTATAGTTGTTTCATGCCCTTGCTCTATAGTGTTATTCTGCCAGCATATTCCATATGTCGAACTACATAGGCTACAACGTATTATGTTGCAGCGTTTTCAGACGAAGAGTAAGGTGCGCTAGGTCGTTGTCGTGCATTCAGCTATGCCGTTGAAGTTGATGGACTCATTTCCCTTCGAAGCTTCCGATGTTATCTTATTTAGATGGACTTAAGTCATATTATTGTAATAAGCTCTCTTTTGAGACATTCGATGTAATAAGTGTGTGATTGAACTCTGTTATAAATCCTCGAGTACTGTGTGTGTCAGCATTACCGATCCAGGGATGACACTTATGCACAGAGATTGACCATCTGAGGTCGGATCGCTACAAAAACCATTTTTTTTTCTTTCTCTAAGGATTAATGTTAGAAAGACACAATAATTGTTGTAGACCTTTCTAAAACCACATCAAAACCCTCTTTTAAAGTGACAAGATATCGAACCATCAGTTCTCTTCGTGGGTGGTATCAAATCCCATCACATCCCCCACAATGACATTAATCACATGTGGGGATCGAGGGTGTCGCCGTTGTGTGGGGATCTAGGCGCACACCCATTACTGATGGGGTGTGTCCTGAGTAGGACGTTATCTCACGTCCGCGCTGTTATCTATCATGTCAAGACTGTCATGCAGTCCAATGGGACGATTGGAGACCATTCTAGTCTAAAAGGACCGGACTGGGTGACTTTTGATGAAGCAATGTGGGAGTTTGACTCGTGGGCAGCTGGTTGTGCAGGAAGCATTTTTTTGGTGTAGGTCGGCTATCTCCTCCGACAAAATCATGGCCGAGGTAGTTTTACATCACACTAAGGAAGCCTGGCGGCTGGAGGCCGGTTACATGAAAGCACTATTGGGAAAGCTTTGTTGAACCTCTTTCAAGCCCGGTGACCGAAGGCGATGTGCAGCCCGGAGATGTCGAGGTGCAGCCAAGCCTGAAGACCAGTTCAAGGGCTACCGACGGTGTCCCGCCCCAGGGGCCTCACAAGTCACACCTCATCAATTCCCAACATGGCGCGCCAGGCTAAGGACCCCTAGATCAGTTCCGTTCTCGGCCATGTTAGGCGGCCATGACGCATTATACGAAGACTCCTAAAAACTTGGCCAAGCCAAAGATACCGGAGCTGTGAAAGACCCTATCTTCACCGAGGTAGCCAACTAGGATTTGTAACCCTAAGATCCCCGGCATGCTATATAAGCCGGGGATCGGGCTCATCGATAGACGCATTACAATCCCTTCGTATTCACCTGCACTTTGTACACCCACAATCACAATATACATGAGCATGAATAGTATATTATCTCCACTATGAGAGCTCAAACCTGGGATAAAACCTTGTCTCATGTTACCATACATCCCAATGGCCTAACTAGGATACTCTACCAAGGGATCTGTCGGATTTAGACCCGAAAGTATGCAAAAATTGCTTTGAAGGTGAAAGCTTTCGTGTGATTTGTCTTCAAAAATGGCGTACTGACTTAAGACAATCTTGATAAGAGAAACCGAAAAGGTAAAGATAGAAAATGCAGTTTTTGTGATCACACATATTTAAATGCAGTTTTTGTGTGACGCGTGATTTCGAAAATGCAGCCTTGTGTAACTGTGTAGTAGCAAATTTTATATGGGGTGTGGTTAAGAGATTTATTGAAATTAACAGTATCCCTGCAAGATTGAAGATTTTAGTGCTTGGATTGCAGTTTCCCCAAGAATCATAGACAATTAGTTATTTTGGATTTGAGACAGTAATCCGGACTTTATGGAAATCTAGAAATTCTACTAGTTTTCATTATGTATACTCCCATGATCCTAGTGTGTTGTTTTTTCAAGTCTTTTATTGGCTCTTTTAATGGGCTGGACTGCAGATAATCGAAGGGCAACAAACACTTCGTGCCATGGCAGCACTCCTAATTGGTATGATAATGATTTCTTTGACAAAAGAAGAGGATGGGCATCAATGACGGAAAAAGGGTAATTTGGTCATTTTTATCCTAGTGTCATTTTTTTGTTTTCTTAGTTATTTTTTTATATTGTTGCTCATTGTTCGGTGTGATGATTAATTTGTCTGTTTCAAAAAGAGCCTTATGGGATGACTTTATTTTTAGGATTTTGCCCGAATGCCGTGGTAGGGTGCCATGAGATTTGGGTCATGGATATAGGAGTACTGTTTTTTCGGTTTCCTTTCATCAGTAAAAATGTGGGTACACCCCTTAATTTGGAGGAAAAAAGTGTTGACATGATCTAATCTAAGAAAAACATTTGCATCTCAAGATTTAATTCGGTGCCTAATCTCCGTGGGCGACGCATGGCTTAGCCATTTAGAAAGAACGAAAGTCGGAAAATCCTCCATTCCCGCGCCTTCTTCCCCAAACCCTAACCCTTCCAGCCCCGCCGCGCGATGCCCTCGTCCTCTGGTCGCCACCGCCGCGGCCGTCGAGGCACCCGCCGCCGACACCGCAATTCGACAAGGACCTGGGCAGAGCTGCCGCTGGTCGCCATCTCGACCATTCTCCACAAGCTCGACCACATCGAGATCCTGATGGGGGCCGGCCAGGTGTGCCGCTCCTGGCGCCGCGCCGCGCGCGACGAACCCGAGCTGTGGCGTCGCATCGACATGCGCTTCCACGCCGATCTCTTCTACCAGCTCAACCTCCACGGGATGGCGCAGGCCGCCGTCCGCCGCAGCAAGGGGCAGTGCGAGGCCTTCTGGGGCGAGTACGCCGGCGACGACGACTTCCTCCTCTACCTCGGCGACCAGTGAGATTTCGATCCCCCACGATCCTCAATTTTAGGTTTACTTCTCGTTTACATGTGCTGAATTTTGTGTTCCCTTTGGTGCCCGCGTAACAATTTCGTAGAAATTCAAAATTGGTGCTTCTAAATTTTGTTTCTGGGATAGGGCTGTATAAAGTACGAGCAAACAACATAGTCTTAGGCCTCCAGGTTTACAGGAATTTTGGAAGAATATTGAAGGAAAGGGTTTAGGCTTAGTAGAACTAAAACCGAGTACATGATGTGCGGTTTCAGTACTACTAGGTGTGAGGAGGAGGTTAGCCTTGATGGCCAGGTGGTACCTCAGAAGGACACCTTTCGGTATTTGGGGTCAATGCTGCAGGAGGATGGGGGTATTGATGAAGATGTGAACCATCGAATCAAAGCCGGATGGATGAAGTGGCGCCAAGCTTCTGGCATTCTCTGTGACAAGAGAGTGCCACAAAAGCTAAAAGGCAAGTTCTATAGGACGGCGGTTCGACCCGCAATGTTGTATGGCGCTGAGTGTTGGCCGACTAAAAGGCGACATGTTCAACAGTTAGGTGTGGCGGAGATGCGTATGTTGAGATGGATGTGTGGCCACACGAGGAAGGATCGAGTCCGGAATGATGATATACGAGATAGAGTTGGGGTAGCACCAATTGAAGAGAAGCTTGTCCAACATCGTCTGAGATGGTTTGGGCATATTCAGCGCAGGCCTCCAGAAGCTCCGGTGCATAGTGGACGGCTAAAGCGTGCGGAGAATGTCAAGAGAGGGCGGGGTAGACCGAATTTGACATGGGAGGAGTCCGTTAAGAGAGACCTGAAGGATTGGAGTATCACCAAAGAGCTAGCTATGGAGAGGGGTGCGTGGAAGCTTGCTATCCATGTGCCAGAGCCATGAGTTAGTTGCGAGATCTTATGGGTTTCACCTCTAGCCTACTCCAACTTGTTTGGGACTAAAGGCTTTGTTGTTGTTGTTGTATTAAAGGATAGGAATTTTGTAGGAAAAAGTTTGTTTGGAGACCTTTAGTTTGTAGGAATGGATCCTATTTGTATGTAGGGTAGGAACCAGACCTTCATATTTCAAAGGAAAAAAAATTAGCCTTGACTCAATGGAAAAATTTCTATCCTGCGCATCAAATGATATCTCTTTCCCGTTTTTCCTATTCCTATGATATTTTTATCCTATGAACCAAAGAAGGCCTTATTTGTAGCACATCTGAGTAAGGGTAACTTCATTAGTATTTACATGGTGAACATACAGGTGCACACACACAGGACGCTCTCATCGGATCCTCCTAAAAATGGTGCATAATTATAGTTCTGATTTGATGCCTTGGCATCTTATCATTTAATTGTACTGTACATTTGTTGTGACTTGTACAAATTTTTGGATGAGTGGTGATTCCTCCTAATTTAAGAATTTCATCTAACCTACTGATACAAACAAAAAGCATAAGGGTGATTATTGCAGCTATTACATTGGTTAATTTGTTCTGTTCTTTTGTCTGCAACTGTTTACAATTTGTCATTCTTTACTGACAAGGGAAAATATGGTAGCTAATGGCAACTATGGAGCACTAAGAACTTCCATGCGATTCTATTATGGAATGTCACTTAGCGAATAGTCGGTTGTGAACTCATGGGTATGTCACTGAATATATTAAGTCACTGGATGTCCTTCATATTGCCTAAGGTCTTACTCTCCTTAATTTCCCTTGAACCATGATTTAGGCACATGCTTGGGTGATTGATGATCGTACTTATCTGTAAGTAGTAATAAGCTGCGCCTTGCAAATATGCACATGAATATATTCCTTTTTCTGCCACCCTTCGTCCAGAAAGAATGGACCGTGCTTTCCCAACAAAAACTTGTCAGTCAGCAGCCAAGTCCCTGACATATTAGTTACCCAAGACATAGATGAGTGTGCCGTTGTTCTCGTTTCGAACAAACACCATGCGAAATAACTTTCTAGGATTATGGAGCATTAACATGCAAAATAATGCTACTGAAGATAGTTTGAATTGTTTCAGTTGAACTCATATGCAATGACTGTAGGATGTATTATGATGTTGCAACATGCAATTATAGGTTGCCCAGCTGGTTATCGTCCCTGAAATGTTTCTCATGTCAAATCTAACAATATAGTTATTAAGTGAAATCTCGCAATACCGCTCTAAATTCTGGACAGGTGATGCTATGCAGTCATCGTCTAAACTGCCCCAATGATTTACCTACATCAGTCTATAGAAACAATAATGGATTCTGGTTGTTTTATGTTGTGTCCTAATGCTGTTTTCTTCTTCTTTTGCCTGGCCTATTATTGGTTACTGAAACCCAAATTCTATATTTGCAGGGCACCATCTCCCAAAAGTCTTCGACTCATTTCTTGCTATGATGTTTCTAACGAAGGTTTCACAGTTGCGATAGAGAAGTTCCCTTTGCTTGAGGAGCTTGAGCTTTCATTGTGTTCAAATGTGGGTGAGGGTGGTGTGTTTGGGGTTGTTGGCAAAGCATGCCCGCAGCTGAAGCGCTTCAGACAGAGCAAACATTCATTCTTTGATTTTGAAGCCAGTGGCTACAATAAGGACGATGAAGCCCTGGGGGTTGCAACTATGCGCGAACTACGCTCTCTGCAGCTCTTTGGCAACAACCTCACCAACGAAGGACTGACAGCCATCCTGGACAACTGCCAGCACCTGGAGTCCCTTGACATTCGTCATTGCTTCAATGTCAACATGGACGACACCCTGCGAGCAAAGTGTGGCAGGATAAATACGGTGATGCTTCCACATGACTAAACTGCTGGCTACGAGTTTCAGGTTCAGGAACCTACATGGTCACGTTACCGCAGTGACTCCCAAGGTGAAGATGACACTGATGCTGATGATATGGGGTATGGTTTTGACTATGATCTGGACTCTGAGGACTATGATGACTACTGTGATCCTTCCCGCTACCTTAATGGCGTCTACGAGGATGACCTTGATGAAGACGATAGGATGGTTCTCAGGGCTATGCGTGCGCTCATGAAATGAGCTTCATCTGGATGTTGCGATGGAAGTGCTTGGATATTAATACATTTTTCCTGAACAGTAGTGTTCGCTAGTCATTTGCCGCTCCTGCTCATGTGCCCCCTTTTGCTAGAAGATCAGTACAAGTAATGTTTCGTGTTGGTCACACAATCTTGCAAACATGTGTGGTTCAGAAGTACAATGTTAGTAGCACCTTGCAGTTTAGATGGAGCCTGCTATTAACTGTACGGCTAAACACTATGTTAAGGGGTAGTCATCGAGTGAGGGCTTTTGGAGGCCGAGCTCCACGGAGCTCGTTTTCAAAATACGTTTTTCCACTGCGTGAATTTTTTTGAAAATGTTTGTATACACTCTCACATATGTGTATTGCGTATGTGCAAAGATTCATAACCATATACTTTCACACGTGGCGTACAGAAGAAAGACAAAAACGTATTTCTAAAATGGGCCGCTTTTTTTTTGGGCCGGAATTTTGTCTTTTTTGTACAGCCTACAAAATACAAAAATTTCAAATGATTTTTCCACACGCGCATGCGGAAATCTAATAAGTTTCTATGGATTTTTTTTGAATTTATTTGAAACCTTGAATTACGACTTTTGATTTTTTCAAAAATACCGAGCTTCCGGGAGCTCGGCCTCCGTTGGCATTTTCCGGGTAGTCATCAGCCTATTGATTTGGTTAATACTTGTGTATGTGATGCATACTGATCTTTTCTGTGTTCTTAGTTCTTTAAACACAATGGCACTTACATCTTCTGCCAAGATGGGTGATGCCTGCATGAGAGGGCAATTTTGTTAGATTCCCCGCATTAATATCTTCCCCATCAATGGATGCTCGGTACTCCAGCCCTAGTTGAAGTTGTCGAGCATGATTCGGCGAGAGGTAGGGGAAAAGCTGCCCTGGCATTGCTTCAGAAGTTCAGATATGCAAGAACAGAAACAGTTCTTAGGAGGGTGGGCGCTGTGCCCCCATTAATCGCAGTGTGTCACAGTCCACCACTAGCAAGAGGAGAAGTTAGTTACTCCCTCCATTCCAAATTATTTGTTTTGGATTTGTCTAAATATAGATGTATCTAGACCCATTTTAGTGCTAGATAGACAGAAGGCACATTTGTGCCCGCCTAACGTACAGAAGCCAGAAGTACAAGACAGGGACACCACCACCAAGGCCAACAGTGCGTACACGCGCCTAAGATCCAAAAGGCTGCGGCGCCGCTCACCATCCATTACGTGAAGGATGGCAAACCAATCCTGAAATGAAGCAAGGTTCCCAATATGGCCAAAGATTACTCTAATACACGCCACACGATACGAGGAAAGGCACGAGGGGAAAATGCACGGGTGACACTCTTTTGCTCTCCACAAAGGGCACATTGTCATTCCAAGTACATTTTAGTGCCGACATTCGGTGTTTGGGTCATTAGCATCGTGTAAAAAGTCGAACAAAAAACCGTGTAAGTAACTTGGTTATTATGTCATTCATGCCAACATGGAACAAAAAACTCAGTAGTTTACGACAACTGAAAACTTACATGGCAAAGGGACACTTTCTTTGTGACACAACTATGATACGATATCCATTGATGGGGAGTGGGGCGTAGATGAGAGCATGATCGTTAATGTTTATCGTCACTGTTTCTTTCCCTTCGAAAAGGAGGCTGAAATCTCTGGTCTCTACATCATTGGGGTTGTTGCTGTAGCAGATGTTTTCGTCATCCTGGCAGCCAAATTCCATGTCAGAGTGATTGATGCCGTCTTTGTTAGGTGTGTGTGGTTTTCCCTCTCTACCACTCTCCACGCGGCGTCCTGTACTTGTTCTTGACTTTTTTATTTTATTTCTAACGTTAAAGAAAGTCAAAGTGCGATAAATTGAGTGGGAGACTTCTTCAAAATATCATGATGCAAAGCCTATTTGGTTCAAGAGTTTTGGAAGATTATTTCTAACTTTTTGCATGATTTGCATACGACACTTTATGTCCGATCTTCGTATGAGAGGGTAATCCTACGTTCATTTGCCAAGTGCGATTTGATCCCAGGGCGATTGATTAGCGTCGGATGAAAGCCTCATACGTGTATCATTGCTCCTTTTCCAATATAGTAATTTGTTTTTTTAAAAAGGAGGATGACCCCCGGCCTCTGCATCTGGGCGATGCATACGGCCACTTTATTAATTATTATCATAAAACCTTATAAAGCCATACAACAGCAAGACTAAAGTCACCGCCTAAGCAACAACTGTCGCTACACCTATCCAATTGATGAAGGGGCGCAGATAGTCTAAGTAATTTGTTTGAATAATACTCCTTCCGTCCAAAAATACTTGTCATCAAAATGGATAAAAAGAGATATATCTAGAATGTAGAAAGAAGTGCTTTTCCACCGGTATCAACATTCTATCTGGAATCAGTAGCGATAATTGTTGTATTGTGAGCCAGCCCCGTAAGACACTACGCACCTTCAAATTATATAATTTTTCCAATCATTTCATTTATACAACCCGCAAATAAGATAAGATATTGGCTCGCCCTACAAAAAAACAACTATATGCCCTATAAACTTGCTTGCTTCTTCGAATTTCGAAATAACATATAGAAAGTGTTTTTGTGATGAGACCATTCTCGATCGATAAATGCGATAGGAGCCTATGTGTTTCACTGGCAGTCGGCCAATAGGGGAAGGTTGTGAATCCGGCGAACCGACCGCTTTAAGAACGTGATTGTTTTCTCTCACTCAGTTATCAATTGACAAAGATGACCCATTCTTTTTCGCCCTAAAAATGACAATGGTATGATATTTTTTCTTAGTTCTAGATACATCCTCTTTTATCCATTTTGATGATAAGTATTTTCGGACGGAGGGAGTACGTAGGACTGAGAAGTGAAAATCATATGGTTTTTGTATGGACCACCCTATTTGCATTTGTTTTCTTTTTGTTACACACACTCGATTTGAAAGGGAAAATACATTGTGTTCAAGTTTATTTTACGGGTCCCCGAGTTGAATGGAAATGTTGTCGAAATGACACAACATTCACCTAATCTTTCATAGAATAAATACTATGCTCTCTGCCATGCAACAAATCAACTTGTATCATACCAGCACGTTGTTGTGTCTCATGGGAAGGAGGCCTGTTTATTTAGAGTCAAATGGTTTGCTTAGAAAGATTCTAATTTACACATTTCCGACTTGATGGAGTTGGGCACGAGGCTTGTCTTGCTCCAGCCTCCGGTGTGAATGACGATGTTGGATTCCGTCTCCACTTGGGCTCTCCTCTCAGATGAAAGGAACCCCGGGGAGGGACGGGGTTGCCACCAACCAAGTGAGCCAATGAATCTCCTCTCCTCCGCAGAGTTGGCGCTTTTGTGGGAATCTTTTGCGTGCAAGTCCAAGTATCTGCGCGGCCAATCATCCATCCTCGCTTCCGTGCCGAGAACTGCGATGAACAGTTGATTGGTACTAGTAACTATACTACCAATCGCGTAGCGACATCGCTTGGCTATCTAACCGTCCGGATTCTGTTCGTCTCCGACGACTTTACCGTTCCTTCATTTGATTTTCTTGTCCAATTTGCTCGCTCGCATGTGTACGTCGCCCTCCACGTATGCCGGTGCGGGGTGGCCGTCCACGTACGGCTAGCGCTCGCCCCGTCTTCCTCGGTGCAGTGCACGGAGCAGAACGCCGTCCACCTTTTCGCCGTCACTCTCTTGACCGAGCCGGTCCCGCGTCGCCATTATAAGCCGTACGGTCGATATGTACAGCCACCAGCCAGGTCCTGCCCACAAGGCCACAACGCAACGCCAACATACAGCATACATACGCCGCGAGTTGCCCGCCCCGCGCCCCGCTGCTTTCTCCACTCCAAATTTCCAATACTCAGGCAGGCAGGCGGCTGCTAGATACGATGGGCAGCCACGCGGGTGGCACGGAGACGGCGGAGGAGAGGACGCGGGTGTGCGACCTCCCGGAGGCGTGCGTGGCGCACGTGATCGCGCTCACCTCCCCGCGGGACGCCTGCCGCTGCGCCGCCGTCTCGCCCTGCTTCCGCGACGCCGCCGGCTCCGACGTCGTCTGGGCGCGCTTCCTCCCGCCGGACTACCTCCAGCTGCACCAGGCGCCGGCCCGGCGATTCCCGCTCTCGCGCTCCGCCTCCACGGCCTCGGCGGGGGCGGCGGCGTCGACCAAGAAGGAGACCTACCTCGGGCTCACCGACGCGGCCGTGCTGGTGGACGGCGGCGGCATGGCCGTGTGGCTGGCCAAGGAGAGCGGCGCCAAGTGCGTGGCGATCTCGGCGAGGAGGCTCAGCCTGCCGTGGGACGACGGCGAGTTCAGCTGGACGTGGACGCCCCACCCGCTCTCCAGGTACGCCCAACATCTTTTTGTCCCTGTCATTAATTTCTCCTTTCTCCTCACTCCAAATCAACACAACTCAATTGCCAGCTTTAATAACTTTAATTAATTACCAACATAGATCGATCCATGGAGCATATAGTTTGTTCGATTCGTTCCATTTCGTGAATCAATTCTAGCTGCTTTCATGTCGACATGATGACGATTTGAATGGGTGGAACGGACGGGCCATGGAAAGGCAATTGGACTTGGTTTTCTTTCCTTCTTTTCGTGGCGTAGGAAGGCGATTGGAGAGTTGGTTGCGACAAGTGCCTCCATTACCGAGCTCCCTCCACCTCCAGTGGGCGTGCCCGCGTATTGAACAATTCTTTCTCTTGATTAGTATACTATAAGGTGCGAGTGCGAGTGAGTGCGCGGCAGTTGTTTTTGTTTGTGAGACGGCAGCCAAGCAAGTTAAAGATGATGCGCGCTTTCTTCTAGAAACAACACACACCAATTACAATTAGTCCAACAGTGAGACTTGTTGCAGAATTCACATCCACGAACTGTTGCCTCAATCTACTTCTTCTTTTTTGAAAGGTTTGCATCCACTTCCCATACGTAGTAGACTCGATCTTCTTCCACGCGGAGTACATAAATAACATCTCCCGCCGGAG